GCTTCCATTCGTCCCCTGGCGACTGTCCCTCTCACCAGGGAACTTTCCTGGTAGCTCAGCTAGCCCACTGACTAACCCTGCAGTCTGTTCTCTGCTCTTCAGTAACTCAAAGGGCAGCAGGGAAGTTATTCATAAAAAAAATCCAAGTAAACAAAAAATGGAATAATTCCACTCAGGACATTTTGCAGAGGTGTGAAGGGCTGTTTAAAAAATTTAGCATTAAGATGGCAAATCCTCAGGCTTTGACAAGCCACTATTACCTGCTGCTCTCATTGGTCTCACGATACTTCATGAATCTCAACTGTAACGCAGTGTGGAAAAATGTTGTTTATGGGCGTGTGTTCCTACCCCTGAGGATATGTGTTTCTTCAAGGCAGGACTATTTTATACATTCACATGATAAGTACATATCTGCATACAGATTTAAGGAATTTAAGCCTGCCCTCTGCTAGCCTTTGCTGAGCCACACGATTCTTTTCGACCCTATGTTCTTAGTCTCTGCAAGCTAATTTTCAAATTCTAGCTACTAACTTACCCGAAACTGGATCGTCATGGGCAAGCCAGGGGCCAGATTGTACTAGATTTTCTAACATGATCTCATTTGGGGGCACAGTGGCAACATTTGGATGTGAGAGGGGCAAGAAAAAAAGGGCCTGCCATTTAGAGCAATGATTCTCAAAGTGTGGTCCTGGCCCAGCAGCAGCAGCAGCTGGGAACTTGTGCAAACACTAACCCTTGGGCCCTGCCCTAGTCCTACTGAAGCAGACACTCCAGGGATAAGCCCTTACTCAGGCGACCCCGATGCATGCTGAAGTTTGACCACCCCTGACTTAAGAGTCATGCCAGAATGGAAGAACCAATGCCATTCTTCTCTCTTTGTTGTCTGAGAGGGAGAAAGTTCTCCCAGGGGTCAGATGCTCCTTTGGTGTGGAGCAATTTCAGTTTCTAGCTGTACACATGCAGCCTATGGCAGGAGTGCCAGCTCCCCTGAGACTCCAGCATTATTCTCTGGTTTACCCAAGAGTCTCTAGAAAGAGGGGAGAATGCAGAAGGATTTTTAAGTGGCCAGGTGTGCCTCACCTTTAAGGTTAGCCCACCATTTTATGCTCAGGCAGGAGGGCCACTTGCAAAACTAACCAGAATCCCATACGAGTCCAGCAGGAGGCTGAGTTGGGGGGGGGGGCAGGGACATAATAAAGTGTCCTTCATTAAGTAAGTGAAGTTCTCAAATCAGTCTGGAGGTCCTGGGAGAGGGAGACAGGAACTTGCTTCACAGAACTGGAAGCTTCCTCATACAATTTCCCAAGTCAAACATGTGACAAATGAGAGCAGGGTCTATGGTTTCTCAGACCAAAGTAACTTGTGATAGCAACAACTTTAACGCAGACACTTGCTAAGCTCTGGGTAAGGGAGTAGGGTGGGGTGAGAGGAGAGAGAATACTCGAAATCTTCAGTCAAAGCGTCTCAAGGCCCACAAAGGTCTCAGAGGTGGCTCTCCAGCCACTTGACAGGTTCTGGGCCATTCTGAGACCTGACTACACAAGCCAGCCTTGGGGAAACCGACCCTCTCTTTACCCCAAACTCTGATCAGCACACTCATACTTTAAAGCAAAGGCCAGAACACTACAGCTTATGGGCGAAATCCTGCTTACAGCCTGGTTTTGTATGGCTTGCAAGCTAAGAATGGTTTCTACATTTTTAAATGATGGAGAAACAATTTTTGAAGGCTGTATTGTGATGCATGAAAATTACATAAAATTCAAATTTCTATGCCCATAGAGTTTTATTAGAACACAGCTCCATCCATTTGTTTACATATTTTGAACCACAAGGGCGGAGTTGAGTAGTTGCCACAGAGACTGCATGGTCCCCAAAGCCAAATATATTGACTATCTGGCCCTTTCCAAGAAAGGTTTGCCAACTCCTCTTTAAAGCAAAGGGTTGGCGGGCAGTTCACTATTCTAACCAGATACTGCAGCCAGGTTTAGCAACTTTCTATCCAATTTATTCTTGTGGATCCCTGTTGCCTACGTTACTAAGTCTAACTACTGTAATGCCTTGATGGTACAGCTCTGACTCTCATCACAACCCTCACTTTCCTATTCACTCATGACTTCTGCCCCTCTGTTCCCAGGGTGAGTGAAAGAACCCGGTGTGAAAATTAGTTCCAATGACATGAGACGAAATCAGCTCAAAGCAAACATTTTTCCCTGAACTGTTTCCTTGCTTCTTTCCCTCCAGCTGTGTTCACCAACTGTTCCAAGAGTCCCCCTTCAGTCACCAGGGGATCTGAATAAGCTTGGCATAATCTAAGTACCAAAGATCTGTTCTTAAGAGAGGAAGTTACTGCTAGTTCTTCACTAAAAACAATTTCTAACTACTTGTCTCACTCACTAAACCTAGATATTGAAAATTTAGGACTTGAGTCAACACAAAACTGGTGTCTGCATAAAAACTTTTTGCAGCTACTCACATGCTATAGCAAACTCAGTTGCAAAACACACACTCACTTAAGGACCAATGTGCAAACTGGAAAGAGTCAATACAGTTGGGGCTATGCTTCAAAAGCTAACTGTGTTCACTCATCAATAATCAGCTTTCCTGATTGGAACTGTTTTAGGGAAGTTGTAACTCAGCACACGGGCTACTCAGGTATTTGCTACCTAAGGCCAAAACACGTACTCGGAGCATCTCCCAGAAAAGTTAACCAGACTGACAAGCGAATGGTATTTGAGTTGGGATCCAGGTCTCCTGCCCAGGAGGCAGCCGGCCTGCTAAGTGCTCACTGTGGACAGCCTGCACCTGAGAGAGAGGCCACCTTTCTGGACAAGCACAGTCAGCAACACCTGCAAGCCTCAGGCGGGACGCACTCAGTGCTGCTACTTCAGGACATGAGGCTGCGAGGGACCCTGAGACTGAGCCCACACAGGTGTTACTCTTACACACCTCCACACAGCCGCTGAGGTTGGCACTGACTGATGCTTCGGTCGGATGGCTGAAGAAGTCCGGCCCAAAGAGCTTAATTTACTGATGCAAAGTCACAGAGGTAGCAGGTGGTAGGGGGCGACATTAGCGCAGGCCGGCCAAAGTCAGACCCCTGAGCCACACTGTCTGCCTGGGCCCATCCACGGCGGCACTTAGGGGGAGTCACTGGACTTGCCTTCCCCAGGTAGAAGGGAGAAGGGGGCTGGCTGGTCTCCGGTCTCTTCCAGAACCTGCCCTCTGGCTCTGCGTTCACCCCAGAGCAGGTGCTTTGGGAGCGGGCCCCACTAAGTCGCTGCCTGGACGTTCCGTTGACCCTCCGCGCCTATGGAGAACCAGCCACCCTCTTCTGTGCCTTCTCTTGAAGTCTGAGGACGGTGGCGGAATAAGAAAGGCCACGGAGGGCCAGCCCCAGGTGCTCCCGGGCCGGGCGGGGCTGCCTCGGGAGCGCCGGGGGCACCGCGCAGCCAGCGGCCGGGGAAGCGCAAAGGCGGCCGCTAAGGGTCCGCAGCGGAGGGAGGGTCTGTTGGCCCCGCCATCGAGCGCACGCCCCAGTCCAGCTCCCGTCCACTCCCAGCCCACAGGGTGGACACCCGAGGACCGAGGATGCCCAGCAGGTGCGGGCGCGTCAGAGACCCCGCGCTCATCCTGGCAGCCCCGGAGTCCGGGCGCCGCGGGGCCCTCTGCCCTGCAGTCCGGGAGCGAGAC